CACAGTCATTCTGAGGAAGGGAAAGTGTAAAGCAGAACGTTAAGTTGCCACAGGAAGTTCCCCGCACAGAACTATTGGTGCTGTTTCCAACGAGTGCATAATGCCCCTACACACACAGTCAGACACATCCACTGCACACAACCGCAGCGGGTTCTGCCCATCAGCTCACACCCATTTCACCGGGTGTTGTTAGCACAGGGCAAGGAAGAGCAGAATAAGCGCAGAACCCGCAGCCTGAAGTCAGAACCATCCCGGTCCTCTGCAAAAATTTATTCTGACACACTTGCTATCACCTGCAGTGTTCAGCAGCTTACAAAATAGCGGGCTTTCCCTTTTTTTTCCTGAAACGCCAGTGTCCGAGACGTGTGAACATACAGCACAGCTGCAGGTTACGCTGGACAAAACACTGTGAACATGAAAACGAGTGAGAAGCAGCTTCCTACACACACCTTGTGACTAGACAAAAGTTTTCAAATGTGGGGCTGAAACTGCCAGAGCCACCTTACCCGTTGGATTCACTGGAAAACTACAGTTCCAGAAACAGGGACTGCATTACAGACCCGTAACAGGTCTCAAAACACAAAATTTAATCTGGCTGTTTTGAGAAACAGAAGTTAGATGGGAATTTCTGCCATCAAAGTGGTAGAATGAAAGCTGTGGAATTGCAGAGCAGGCTGTCACGTGAGGAAATGAGAAGGAACAAACCACCAGGCAAATGTTACCTGTGGATTGGCATCCCGACTGCTCTCAGCCGGGAGAATAAAGGCATCTGCAACATAAGAGATGACACACTATTCTCCTTGTTCCACAGGAAGGAGTGACACAAACAACTCCCAGTAATCTAAATCATACATAACATACGTATCTGAACGACCGAAGGGTAAGATTGGCTGACAGACAAGATACAAATTTATTCCTCGGTTGTAAACAAACTGTTTTCAGTGTAGTCAACAATGGTCTTGAACATTTAATTTATAGCTTCACAGAGTAGCTTTAGAGTAGTGAAATATTTTGTTCAACATTTAGGTTCAGCTGTAACTTCAGGTGTAGAAACTTGTTCCTGGTATTTCAAAGAACGGTATAAAAAACCAAAAGCAGGATTTTTATTGAGTGTTATCAAAAACGGTCAGTAACCCCTAACAAAACCTGTACACTTGACTTGAGAGAACTTTTACTCTTACCGCAAGGTTAACCTTCATTGACTGATTCAGCTTTAGTGCTGGGATATAGTTGGCACGCTGCAGATGGTGGACTAGAAGAAATTCCTGATTCTGAACACCACCACTGCTCTGTAAAAACTTCTCCAAACACTCCTAGGAGAAACAACACATTTCAAAATTGTATGATAATTCTGCCTTTTCCCTTTCTGAAGGGACAATTAAGATTTTTTTCTTGTCCACACATACTTGCTCAGTGTCTGTGAAAGGTAGCTTCAGTAAGTCTTCCATGAGTCCCATCTCCTGACACGTTTCATACATATGTTTTAACAGCTCTTCTATAGTCAACTCAGTGGTATGTTGCTGCAACAGAGCCCAAGCTTCCACCATGCACCTGTAATTAATTTTTTGAGATGTAAAGGAATATTAATAGCATAACCAAAAAAGATGCCCAAAATCACTGTACGCAAAGTTTCAAGGAAATTGAGGGGATCACGATTTATATTTATCTGCTCTCCACTTTACACAATGTCAGAGTAGTGCCAAAAAGAAGGGGCCTATCTCTTTACCTATTGGACAACAGCACCATGAGCAAAAGCTGCACTTCACTACTGCTTGACGCTGATGGCTTCATCATCTGTAGGTATCTGAGGGCTTGCCTGTGCTCTCCTTGGCACATGAGGGACTGAGTAATTCTCATATGTTGCCATGACGTTTTGATTGTAGCAGGATGTAAGAGCAGCGCCAGCGAATTCTGTCAAAGTTAGAGATCAGGTTTATTACAATAGACACACACACTCGTGCAACAAAAAAGATTCAAAAGTTTCTTAAAGTAAGGGTGAAAAGTCACTTTTGTAGTCATCTGTCTCAAAATGTTGCTGCTGCAATCACAGTTTTAATATTTAAACTACCTAAAGCACTGCTTCTGAGACAGTGCTCAACTGGTCTGCTGAAAACAACCTAAACATGGCTCTGAAAATCCAACTACCAAGCATTAATAAAACTGATGTCTTCTTTGTTTTATTCCATTTCCTGTCAAAGTAATTAAAACAAGATTTCAAATCATACTTTGTTGCAAAGTTGTCATAGCAGTATTACATAAAAGCTTCTAATGGTTTAGCACCTGTTATTATGAGCTAAGCATCAACTCTGAAAAATCATTTTATAGGTTATAGCTTAGTACTGCAATGTATGTCCAACTAAACTGTAGCATACCTACCTCATAGTCATTATGATCTAGAAGCCAAAAGCCTTGAATAAGCTTCACAAGACCCCAAGGGATAGCAAAGGCAGTTGGGAAGGAGTCAATTGAAGTGTCTGTTTTATTCGGAAAGGAATGCATGATATCTAGCAGCAAGTAAATTGTCTGATATCAAGTGTCTAATTAAGGCTAATAGAGTTGTAAGATCAAAAAGGTATCGCATTACATTTAGGAAAACATAACAACATAAGACTATTAAAGTAGTCAGAAGCAGAAAATACCAATGCATTACTCTTGCCAATTAAGTGATTAAAACCTGAAGTCAGGTGTCTAGTGGTGGATTCCCCCTGCCCAGCTCCTGAATCTCTTGACAGCCTGAAGATTCCCGTCCAGCCCTGGCCATCACACAGCGAGTTCGGCAGTTAAGTACCCTTGACCGAACCAAGCACTCCTGCACTCCTAAGGCAGGGAACGGCAGTGGCCATACTGGAAGCTCAGCTGCCAAGCAGGGTGGCGTACTGAGAATTTGACCACTTGGCCACAGTGAGAAGAAGAATGCAATAACTAATCACTCCCTGACAACCCTGAAACTCAGGCAAGTTGGTACCATCTATTACAGACACTCCAGTAATTACCAGCCCGAGTTGTGGCCCAAGTGGAGAGCATCTGAAGTCACTTATCTCACAGCTATATGAACAGTGGTCCCATGTGAGACCCTTTAAGCTCTCCTGGACCACAGCAGGCTGCACCCACTATCCCCCTCTGAGTGGGACACCTCTCGGAGTTCACAAACCCTCAAGTCTGTGGAACCAGACGACCTCACAACTTCATCTGACACCTCCTCAAGGTTCAACTCTACACCCATTGAGAGGTGCACAGGAATCGTTCGTGATGATTTTCACTGGAATCAAAGGGAAATGTTAACAAGTACCCTTGTATACATCTATCTCTATTTCTATATCTGTGTGTGTCTATGTGCAAACTTGTGTTAATAACTTTGTTAAGCCTTTGATTAAGTTGCTGGTTTTGGTCACTGATAGTTAAGTTTTGCTAGGGAGTATATAATCCATGTGATTTATCTTAAAGGTGTTACTGAACTTCAACTTGCCACTATTTTAAATTGCTGCTATCCCAAAGTTATACAAAACACAAAATCACCACACTGTGATCCCTACAGCTAATCCCACAAACTGCTGAGAAGGTCTGGGACTAGGAGTGGATTCAGCCACCCCTAGACTTCTCTGTGAGAAGTTTAAAAAGCAAGGGGTCCACTTTGAGCCTCGTGACTCAACAGAAGAAACTTCCTTGCCCTTTTCCACTAATCCACAGGTGTACATGTATATATAAACCACACAAACTCAATTCTGACAGATTTCCCCTGACACTGTGTAAAGAATTTTTAACCCATGTATAAACCATTTTAACCCAGTACTAATTTGATTTCACCTTTGTATGCTTTTCCGTGACAAATAAGTAATAGAGTGAACCTTGCCATCAAATTCTGTTAAGTTGTGCTTTTCATAAACTCATATTAAACTATCTTCTTCCCCCTAATGTCTGTAACACTGACCTTCTGTGCCTTAGCCTCTCTCCTGCACAACAATGTGCTACCTACCAAACTGCGTTCTGCATAAAGAACCGGGAAGAAATACTCAGGTTTCTGCAAGGCATTCAAAACAGTTAACTTCAGATATCTGGACACTTCCCTTACAGGCGCAGGCTCCCTCTTTAGTCAGTGGAGCTACCAGCTGGACATCCAATGCTGAACTATTAAAGCAAACAAATTCTACAGCTGGTTTTCTCCCTCATTTCCAGAGTGTATAAAACAAGGGAAATTATGGTGTCCCTACAACACAACCTGGCTCTGAATGACGAAAACTGGATTTAAAATAGTATGAGGATCACTCATGGGTAGTGTCATGGAACTAGATGATCTTTAAGGTCCCTTCCAACCCAAACCATTCTATGATTCTATGATTCATTTTCTCTCTCTGACATCCCTTTTTAGGGACGTATTCTGGTAAGACAGCGCTGGGGTACAACAGTTTTTAAACCCCTTGCGCCCTGGGCTCCCTTCTCAGGTTAGGCAACAAACAACAAAAGCAATTCTGTAGATTTCAGTCGCTTAAAAATTAAGTTTCTGCCCAACAACTCTCTCTGGTTACTGTTCTGTGCGTCTGAACTGTTAACAGAACAAAAACAAGCGCTGTTAGCTCGGCTGGAATATCGAGGATTTCGCCAAACATTGGGTACTGCTCAACCACTCTCAGAAGTCCTTCTGCTCTGAAACAGCATGTTTTAGTGCATCATTCTACTAAGCCATTTGCGACAGATATGGATGCTTTAAAAAAAATTAAAAACTGTGTTTAAATTCTGAGAAAAACTGAAGGGGCTTTTTCTCTTCAACATTCCTCTGCAAACCCGTTCTCACCTATCAGAAAACACTTTGCAAAAAAAAACATTAAACCAAAAGATCATAGAAAAGTGCACAGTAAAACAGTGCTTCTGTCTACTTAATTCTAGACTTAATTAATAGAATTAGACTTAATTCTAAACTAAAGGTATTGTCTTTGAAGCATAGATTAAAAAGTGTTAATAAACACACAGGTGACAAACATTCGAGAACATTCACGTGCATATACTGATGGTGTATTAAAAATAAGCAGAAAGGATACAATTGCATGTTTGTAGCTTTCTTCAATGTTTTCTAGCAAATAGAGATCCAGCAGTGCCTGAAATGAAAAATTAAGGGTTTTTTTAAAATCTTCTGTCATAAATCAGACTATTTTTGGTTTTTTTTCTGGGGGGGCGGGGTGGGGGTGGGGGATGGTGCTGGAGTTTTCAGTGACCAGAACACTCACATGTAAACTAGGAGGTGGATATTTCCCAGTTCCTCCTTCATCTCTTCGCCACAACCTCTGAACTTGGTCTCCCAACTGGGAAACCATTCCATCAATCATCAGGCAGTCAGAATCCCATTTTCCTCTGGAACAAAAGGTAGCAAGGGTTTGGACAGAGTCAAACACTAATTCCAGCCTCTCAGCGTAACAGATTCCTCATGTCAAAGCATGCAAGCAAAACACTCCCATGAGTCGAAGAACATAACAAACATACAAAAAGGCATGATTGTGACTTGAAATAGGCATGGGAGAAATTTCTGAGTCAGGCGAAAGATGCTCCTTAGATCATATTCAATTATTACAGGAGTTCAAAATAGGAATCCTAAAAGCTCTCTTATTAAGGGTACAGTTGCGGTGACCTTTTAGCCTTCAGGTTTTCTTTTTTGCTGTAGTACTTGTAGTACAAAGGAAGCGTAAACAAAGTTTCTTAAGTGTCTCCTGTCTAATGGAGGAAACACGGCAGTATTAAAACACCAGGACTGTTCTTTAACACAAATCTAATGCCTCAGATTGGACTCTTCCAATACACGGCTGTGAGCCAACACAATGAAAGTTTCCCATTTTGTTCTCAGCATCCGACTTCTGTGGCTGAAAAGTTACTTCAGACAGCTGAAGAAAATTATAATTTTACTTTAAAATTTACTTAAAACACAGGTAAATTTTAGTGTCGTCTTAAGCAGCATTTATGGTTCTATACACGTGCCCTTACAATTATGTATGGTCGAACTTTCAAAAATTACATTATCCAAAAGCCCATCACAGTCTTTTGCTGACTGCGACGCGTTAGGTGCCAACTTACTAAATTACACATGTGTATTTGTGAGTAGGAGATTTAGGCCAATAGCACAAGTGTTCTGGAGTGTTCCTGTAAGGCTTACCTTGATAAGCTCTCAAGTTTCTGTCTATGGCCAGTATAGTAGCTCTGAATCTGAGGATAATTGTAGAAAGGTCTAGACAAATGCATGTCATCATCTACAGGTAGTAAAATGAAAGCCAGTTAAAGAAGTAATATCACAGTTTTAAACTGCAGTTTTCACTAAAAAGACAGCAGATCATACAAGCTAAGCATCAAGAAGCCTCTTCACTCTGAAAGAAGCCAGTCCTGTTTCTGCCTTTGCTAAAAGGGATGTAAGACACAAGACTCGACTCCTTCCTGCCTCAAGTGCCAGTTCAAATCTGCAGTTGACGTAGCTTTCAGAACATGTAGTGTCAGCTGAAGCTCACAATTCTCAAAGGCAATGGGTTTTTGAACATGCCACGTGAGCATTTGTAAGAGACTTACGGCTGACAACAGAATTGATATTCCATCTAAACAAGGAATTATTTCCAAGGTGTATTTTTCCCCACAAGTAATGCTTTTACTGTGAAAACAAGCATTGCAGCGTTTGTTGTTTAACAGTAATTTGTTTAATATCCTACATATTTCAAGCCACCGACATAAGTAACTCCTTGGAAGCCAGAGGCTTATTGCTCTTTCTAAAAAACCATCCAGGAAAGAAACTACTTGCATTATGCATTTCAAAAACCAGCAGAATCTCCCTTTCACCATAAGAACTGCAGCACATGCTGTCACTGAACCAACACGTTATCAGCACAGCATTTACGAAAGCACAGCTATGAATGTGCTCATAGGAATCATGTACTGGATAGTCCCCTCGCCACAAATATATTCCAGTTTAGGCTTACCTAAACCCTCTGGAAGGAGACTGGATCGGCAGAACCAGATGACCACTTGTGCATACAAACTTATGAGGCTAATTACCACCTGCTTCTTTGTCAAGTCTGCAAAACCTGAAAAAAGGCATATGATTACTTTTGTTACGCAATTCTCTGCATTATTAAAAAACTCCCTTCTTACTAAATAGAAAGGCTAAAAATAGCAACGTAGAAATCTTTTTCTTTGCATTTTTCACTCTGTATCTCTTTCTTATTTGAAGAAGAAAACCCTAAGCACCACCAGAGCGAAAATCAACCTGTACAGAGAACAAGATCCCCTCAAGGTTAAAAGTAAAACAAATAAAGCCTGAACAACATTTGCATGCCATTATACATTGCTAGCTCAGAAAGAAAAAGAATAATTTTCAGCATGACCACATTCAGTTGTCGTAAACTGAACCCAGTTGCCCACATAACTTCTTGCTGAATATAGCATCCCCTACCCACTTACCTGAACTCCACAACAAACTATTTCCCTGAACTCAGTGCCCATGAAGTGGTAGATCCAACTCCTCAGATTTAGGCCCCTTCTCCTGGCTAAGTCTGACTGTCTTCCAATCATCAAAACCAACAGCTCATGTTTCCACAATTACATCCCAAGCATAATTCCCATTCTTAATAAAACATACCAAAGGTTTAATAATACTCAGACAAACCTTTTTCAGTAAGCACTTGTGCTTCTGTCAGAAAACAGTTAAGGACTCTGCTAAGGTTGCTCAAGAGCAACTGGCAGTGCTGGAGAGACTGTAACGTCTGTGAGTCAGTGAAGTTGCAAGAGCCATCAAACAGCGGAACACCTACTCAGGAATAAATGTTAAACCATTAGCCTACAGAGCACTTTCACAGTTTCAAAGCACACTTAAAAGAACCGCAGGCAGTATCACATACCGGCACATTGCTGAATAAGCTCAGTCAGAAAGCATGATTTTATAGTTGCAGAATGACCACACTAATACTCACATATTTGGTCAAATTCATCTTTTGTATGGATCACTTTGTTCCATGTCCACTCAAGAACAACCCGTAAATTAGCAGCTGAACTTGGCTGCTCTTTAAAAAGAGAAAATAAAAAATAATGGAATCAATGGTTTCAAACTGAAAAATATGTAACATAAAAACTATGTAAGAAGTGTTACCTTCAGATGTCCAATGTTTAATGCATCCAGTCAGAAGTTCCAAAGAACTTGTCTGGACAGCCACTGATAATACCGCTTCTAACTGCTCCTCCTAAACACAACAGACAAAATGAAAGGAGACCCGTAAATGCTTTCAGTATCTGAACCATCAACAGTACGTGTTTGTTTCTAACTGTATATTCACTCAGACATCATGAAATCATTCAGCACACACGCAACTAATTCCACATTCTTCTTCTCAATTCTAGCCACAGCCTGGACTGCTTGTTGGCCTGAGGAACACATTAAACTTTTCCACTGACAATGCAACTTACTGAAGGCTAATTCTGATCTTGATTTGCATGCCTCTGCATTTGGTCTCAACTTACTGAGTTCCAACTATTTTCGGAAACATCCTCTCTAGAACCATTACGCATTTTGTGTAGGTAAGCTTGCCATCAGGAGTGCATGAAGGGGATAGAACAAATACAAATGCAATGTTTGCATGGAAACAAGCTGAAGTCAAGCAGCTTTCTAGACTATGAATACATGAAGCAGCTCTGACACCCAAAACATTACGTTATAATCTTATAAAATGGCAGAAAAGAAGCATAACATTTGAATTCTAGTAGGTTTAAATTTTAGGCTATTCAAACACTGTATTGTAAGGGACTGGTACACTGTAATCCCTTAGAAGGGTAACAGGTATGCACAGACACGTGATATTAACCACTGTCTTCTTTCAGCTTGTGTTCTGACACTTCTGGTGAAATGATCCCTCCTAAGATTTTACTTTTTTCTTTTTAATTTTTTTTGTGTTTGTTCCTTTAAACATATTCAAAAGTGGCTTTCCCTTCTCAGCAAAATCATTACATTCAAAGTGATGTCTGCACATTAGGATACACATGTTTTCCGAAAACATGTTTCGGACAAGGAAACACACCAAATACTACTTCTGGTGGCAAACAAAACTCCAAACCAAGCTTCTTGAACATAATCCTGAAATTTGGCTTACTAACATTCAAAAGAAATCCCTGCTCAAGTACATAATGCACCTCTGAACGACAGGGGCACAATTCAGCAAAGGTTATTAAAAAATTCCTTAGCTTCCCAAGTTACTTCCAAACGGGAGCTGACATCAGAACACCCAGCTTGAAGGAGAGAGTCTACATCAGGCATGCAAAATAAACAGTTGACAGGCTAGGTCACCTTGCCAAGCAATTGATTTTAGCTAGCCCACTGTGCGGAAGTGTTATTTGCCTTAACACACTTCCACAGATCTGGTGAAGAAGCCAGAAGACAGGAAGACGAGGGCAGCGAGAAGACTACTCTCCCCTTCCTACTCACGGCTCCACTCTACGATGGTCAGCTAGCTGATCATTTAGCTTAGATCCTGCCTGGGTGACTGTGGGCTGCTCACCACAAAGGCTCCATCTCTCAGGAAGCTCTTCAGATGAGAAAGGTTGGTGCACTGCACACAGAAAGTGCATGGAAAGAGGGCGGTAAAGTCACTATGGTGGGATAAAACAGATAGGCAGTAGTGGGTATCATGAGATGAAGGTGATTTGGTGTATTGCCCCAACAAGAGGGCAGTCTAAGGTGTAAATTTGGCTCCTGGTAAACAAGGAAAAGGCTGCAGAGAGCAAGATCTGCTTTGAGAGGCTGCACAAAAGCTTACGGATGAAAAGAGGGGAAGCAGTGATGAAACTGCCAGGTAGAGCTGACAACGCTAATTGTTTACCACAGGCCACTTTCTTGGAAGCAAATGATCACGTGTAGTGCAGCAAGCCGATGTCTGCAAAAGCTCGCATCCGGTTGAGAGTCCCCAGCACCAGCTACTGCACTGAACCTGATCCTCTGAGAAAGGGACAGAGATGAAGGTTGTTCTGAGGGAAAGATGCTTTACGCTGCACATGACCAGCACTGACTGCACACTTCCTTGCACCTATCTGTGGCACAGAACCGACAGATGGGTCTGTAAAGACAGGTCTGTTACAGCTGTTTCCCATCAAACTCAGTGGTTTGGCTCTAAGAACACCACTACTTCTGCTAACTAAAGTCAACATCTGCATTCCAAGGCAACTCTCAAACAGAATGAAAATCAGATTGTCGTGTCTTGTAGCCTCTACAGTCCTGTCAGACAGGATGGATGAATTTCCCCTGCGATTCCCTGATATGCACTCACCTGACTCAAGCTGGATGGCTGGACATCAACTAGTTGTGGAGACAGCAAGCCAGCTACAAGGCACCTATTGTAGCTGTCATGAATGGTCTCACTTATCAAAGGACCAGATTTCTTTAACAAATTCAAGGTCTGAAACATCAATCAAAAACTACAGATGAGGACAGCATGGTTATTCAATCACTAAAAGTCTGGATAACCACTGCGAGAAATAACATAAAGGTTATAACATAAAAGTACAGTGGCTGAGAAATCAGATATTGGCCAAATTTTGGGGAAAAAAGAAATCTTTAAGTATTAAAGTTATTATCTTTATATAATACTATATAATTCCATGTCATGTGATATAGTTTTGTAATTAATATTCTATGTAATATTATTTATTCATTAACAATATTAAATAAAATAATTTTTCATTTTCTCTGACCGGTCCACCTTTTTCAAGTTCATCAGGGATCAAAAGCCTAACTCAAGACTATGCAGGCAGTTCAACTGAAGGGTAATAAAGAATTAGGACCCTTACACATTTTGTACAACACTTATTCTTGCACAATTGTAATGATGCATGTGAACGGGCAGGATGAGCATAAAAAGTAGTGCAAGAGGAAACTCAGAGAAGGTCCATCCCTTGACACTCTCAATAAAGAGACAGTAAAAGATCACCTCCTTCTGGAAGCTGGTGCAAGTCACATGAGCAACTCCGGAGTCCAGCAGGCACGAACCATCTGCAGAAACAACGAGCGTTTGGCAGCCTTCCACACTCCCACAGTTACATTATCAGCAGTTTACGTTTCTTTGAACAGCAGTGCCTGGAAAGATGGCACCGAGCACCCATTTTCTTCATCACATCCCTTACAAACCTCTTCTTTATGATTTCTTAAGGCATTACTGTGTTCAGAGTTTCATCTCGAGTGCTTTCGGGGTGCTGTACGCTGGGCTTCAGTTCAAAGCCATGCCATTGTATAACCAAAACCCCAAAATTCAGCAGAGTGTCAGCTGTGTTTCACAGCAGTGACGTATCCTGTCACTACAACATCATCAGAGTTGGGTTGGGGGGGGCTCGGGGTTTTTGGGGTTGGGTTTTGAGTGACAACAAATGGCATCTGACCTCAGCACAAGCTTGCTGCTATTAAAAGTGGTGCAATACCTACCAAAAGTGTAGGTGCTTCGGTTAAAAAACTGCTCAGGTGTTGAGTAACACCACGGAGTTCTTGGATTAAAAAACTGCTCAGGTGGCGGGTAAGAAGGAGGAACCCCCCGACTTAGACTCCGCTCATGCACCAGAATATCCAAAATGCGGTTTGGAGAAGACAGGCTGACTACAGCATCCAGTGACCACAATGCAAAATACGGGCAGTCATGAAGGAATTCTTCTGGCCTGAAAGAAACCAGGTGCGTAAGCTGCACACCAATACTCAGATGAAGGATTTGTAGGGATACTGAAAACAACTTGACAAAAATGTACCTTAGTGAATCTGGCATTTGAGCATGATACCAGCGGTTAATGTCGAATACCGCCAAATAAGTAGATGGCTTTCCCTGCCCGTACGGATTCACTTGCCAACTGAAGATTGAGACACTGGTTTCAGGAGATATTACTGTAAAAGACAAGACACCATTTCTTATTCGTAGAAAACAGGATAGATCTGATATTTTTAAAATATCACTTTCTGGTTTTGACTTACTTCTGTTATATCACTCACGAAATGCAACACTTACTACGAATAATTAAAGTATTTTACACGTTAGCAAACACCTCTGTGATAGGTTTCAGTCATAGCGCCCCTTTTTCTTGTTCAAATTGTATCACTCTAAGCTCAATTAAATACACAATTATTAGCTAATTCAGTTTTCCATACATTAGAATCATAGAATCACAGAATGGGTTGGGTTGGAGGGACCTTAAAGATCATCTAGTGCAAACCCCCCTGCCATGGGCAGGGACACCTTCCACTGGACCAGGGTGCTCCAGGCCTCGTCCCGCCTGGCCTTGAACACTTCCAGGGATGGGACATCCACAGCTTCTCTGGGCAACCTGTTCCAGTGCCTCACCACCCTCTCCGTGAAGAACGTCTTCCTGATATCTAATCTAAACCTCCCAACTTTCAGTTTAAAACTGTGATTAAGGGCTGATCAAGATATTTAGCTAGACAAACAGTTTAACTAAAAAAAAAAAGAAAGAAAAAAAAGGATGCTAGGAACACATACATTGCTGCTTTTAGAAAGCACACAAATATTTATGGCATATACTTGCAGCACTCAGCTGGCATTATTAATTTCCAGATTTCATTCAATTACAAGTTTTAAGAATAGCTCCTTCCCAGCATATTCAGAATGAAAGAAATCTATTACCACACGAAATAAAAGACAAAATGAATAAATAAAAAGCTCCAACAAAGAGGAAATTGGAATAAAGATTTTAGCATAAAATATCCAGTGTTACACTCCAGTTCTCTCAGTAAGTGGAATGGTCGGCCTTCTCTGGGGAGAAAGTATTCTCTAGATGTGATCAAATTATGTGGTTTATCATTTACCCTAGCAGAGTACAGAAGAAGACATTTTGCTTAGCAAAATGTTTCTCTGTTGAATTCATCATTACCCTTCAGGGATCCTGACACACTTTACTATGTTCAATTCGGAACTTCTCTCCCCCTTCAGTTTTATTAACCACTGAAAGAGCCTTTCTCCATGCCTTATACTTCATGAAAAGGAAACAAAAATTTTCTTTTTGTTCTTCTCGGTTTGGGTTTTTTGGTTGTTGTTTTCCTTTTGGGTGGTTGTCTTGGTTTTTTGCTGGGTTTTTTTTTTGGTGGGGGCCTTGTTTTTCACAAGTTTTTAGAAGGCACTCTCCTCAGGAACAAGACACAAATGGAGAAAATCCAAAGAAGCTTTTACTAGATCTTGAGACACTGTTGACAGTGGATGGCATCACAAAAGAGATGGAATTTGCTGCTAAGTCAAAGACAATAAACAGAAATAGCCCAGAAAAATCATGCGAGTATCTTCTTTGTAACATAAGACCTAAGTTAAGGCCAGTAAGAAGAGAGTGAAAGTGAATAATGCAGTCAAAACAGAAGGCTATGAGCCAGCTGCAGTAGTAACTTCCAAAGATATGGTCCGAGCATAACTGAATTTGTAAAGCCAGAGATACGTATTTAATTACCGCAAGATAATGAAAGATGCAGTAACACTGCGTATCAGGACAAAGAAAGCTACTGCTTTAAGAAATGTTAAAGCTAGGAGCCTATCAGATTTAGAGAGGAAAACATGGACAGGCAGATCATCAAACTATTTAGGTTGGAAGAGACCCTAAAGATCATCAAGTCCAACTGTACACCTAACACTATCATGTCCACCACTAAACCATGTCCTGAAGCACCACATCCACCCACCTTTCCAATACTCCCCAGGGATGGTGACCCATCCATCCCCCAGGCAGCCCATTCCAACGTCTGATACCTCTTTTAGTGAAGAAATTTTTCATAATATC